GGGGAGGGGAGAGAGCTGTGGAGCAGATCCTTCTCACGTCAGGCAGGTACCGGGGGGGTGTCACAGGGTGGGGTGGGGGGATCCTGAGGGATCTCCTGGTGGATCCATCCGGGCTGAGCGGGTCAGTGGGACCTGCACCCCCTGTGTGGCTGCAGAGGTGGGCAAACCCCAACCCCGTGCCCAGGACGGCTCCCGCTTTTTAACTACGCACAAGTTCTGCTCCCGGGTTGTGTTTCAAAGCTTTTACGTGGAACATGGGGTTTGTGGGTTTTTTTTTGGTTTTTTGGGTTTTTTTTTTTCGTAACGGGAACCACATTTCTAACCGTTTAAGCCGCTGTATTATGTTACTGGTATCGAAACGCTCAAAGGAAAGTGTTATTGTCCATAGTCTTTGCACTTTATGGCAGTACTTCTGGCATCCTGCTACACACACGAGGAGATCTCCTGACTGGGTGCCTCTCGGGGGTTGCTGGTGTCCGGAATTCAGTTTGTAAATGCACTTCTAGAGTAAAAAAACGCTGCTTGTTTAAATAACTGCAATAGAAAAATTCATGCACTGTATCAATGGTACCTGCCTTAACTGCTGGCTTGTAATTGGCAAATAGGTGGTTTCAGATTCTTATTTACTTCATGGAGTCAAAAGAGATTAAAATACTCTAAAAGAAAAGATTTTACTTAATTTTTTGGTGCCTTGCACAGTGTTTAGAGAATTATGTATTTATGAAGATAGAAATAAACCTTTCAAACAGCCGCAGAGATGGTGTTCTCTTACAGCAGCAGCACTCGCTCTGGTTCAGCTCCCGCTCCCCAGGCAGGGGGGGTACAGGGAACGTCGGGGCGTGAAGGCTCTAAAACCACCTGCAGCTCGAGGACAAATGGCCTGAATTCCCCCGGGCAGAAAAGGCCTCTGTCGGTGTCGATGTCAGTGGAAAAGATACAGTTTTCCTCAGTCAAAAACCCAGGATTTGAGTAAGCTGTGATATTTTACTTTGTGGAGGGGTTAATATGTTACTGCCACATCACCTCAAGGTGCTGCTGGGTGTTGTCTGTGGTACCTCCTGAGAGCAGGGAGAACCTTCTCCTCCTCCTTTTCCTTTTCACCTCTTCTCTTCTTCTCTTCTCTTCCTCTTCTTTCTCCTCTCCTCTGGCACGGGTGTGGTGTTGCTGCAGACAGGTGGGGAAGGGCTGAGATATCACCGTGATCTACCATAACATGTGGAAATACTGAGCTGGAAATCACAGAAATCACTCTGTTATTGTCTTTGAGTCATTATGACAATTATACTCTTGGATCAATTTATGTTTTGAAGCCACTGCTGAAATGGAGTCATGGCAGGAGGAGTATCTTGCAGTGCTGTGCACGTGAAAGTGAGGGGAGATGACACCTACCTGCAGCTGCACCTGGGAGCCTGGCTTTTCCTGGGTATTAGGAACAATTTTCACACTGAGAGGGTTATTGAGCCTTGGAACGGGCTGCCCAGGGCAGTGGTGGAGTCACCATTCCTGGGGGGATTTAAAAGCCGGGCAGACGTGGTGCTGAGGGACATGTGGTGTTGTCAGTGTTGGGTTGGGGGGTTCAGCCTGGAGAAGAGAAGGCTCCGGGGAGACCTCAGAGCCCCTTCCAGTCCCTCAAGGGGCTCCAGGAGAGATGGGGAGGGACTCTGGATCAGGGAGGGGAGCCATGAGAGGAGGGCAGGAAGGATGAACCACGCTGCGACAGAAGGGGCTGGACATGTTTTATTGGCAACACCAGCATCACAGGCAGGAACCACAACCCTCCCTCAGGCTGTTGGCGTTAACAGTGACAAGTGTCAGTGACCGACTGTACTTGAAATATAGTCACGGTGCCCAGGAGTAATAGGCATCTTAGAAATTTAAAAAAAAAAAAAAGGAAAGGAAACTTGTTCCATCCGCTCAAGGCAACCTTTATAGACCTTACATCTTAAGCAGGACTGATGCACCGTTAATTGTGACGTGGGGGTTAATGCACCCTCTCCAGCAGCACAGACAATGCCGGTCTCTCGTTACGCACATGCTTTAGGATCGTTTATTTTAATGCTTTCAAATAAATATGTTCCATGCAGCACACCGCAATAAATAAGGAGCAGCGAGTTTCGTATAGTACATCCATTCATAATGTAAGTCACCATGGGAAACACCACATCTAAAGCCTTTGGCCCGGGCCCATCCAGTGAAGCACACACATCTGCACACAATCATATCTGCCTTCAGATGGATTTAATAGCGCTCTGCCAGACGGGCAACGCCAGCGCGGGCTGAGCCAGGGGTTCCTAGCTATTAACTGCAGCTACTAAGTAGTTAAAAGGCAACAACTAAACCCATAAAGGCTTGATTTGTCTTTTCTTCCTCACCGGTCAGACAGAAATATAAAGTATGAGAAGGCTCTGGGTCTCGTCAGCCCCCGTGGGAAGCAGCAGCGGGATGGATGCGGGATGCTGGGACGTGACACCGGCGGCAGGACCCGCGGGGAGAGGGGACACCAGACTGTGCTCGGCGGGGGAAAGCGGCTGTCCTGGTGGCGGCGGGCACTGCTCATCCTCCTCCTCCTCCTCCTCCTCCTCCTCCCCATCCTCTAGGCCGACAGCTCCACCGCCCCTTCCTCCTCGCTGTCGGCCCGGTTGGCGCGGATTTCCACCAGGGTGCGAGCAAAGCGGGTCCATTCGTCGTTGTGGGGCAGGGCCAGCTGGGGAGAGACCCACAGGGAGTGAGGAGAGGGCTCTGGTTCCCCCCCGGCCCGAAACTGAGTCCCCCCTCCTTTGAGGAGACCCCTGCAGCAGCTCCGCAGGGCAACGGATGGGGGCACAGACCTCACCAACCCACCCTGGGCTGGAGACACTCTAAAGGGCCACCGAGCTCCCAGGACAAACCCAGCAGATTCCTCTTTGGTGCCAACCAGAAGGTGGGAGAAAAATACAAACAAACAAACAAGCTTTATCTGCTCAATTTTAAGGACTAAAGTTTCTGGCTGGAGCACTGTCACAAAGTCTGCCCTTTGGTTAAAATATTTCAGATTTTTCCACACTAAGGCAAGGCCTCGGTCTCTCCAGGTTGGCACCTCCACATGGAACTGGCCCGTCTCAAGCCGGGGGGCTGTCCCCCACCACCCCCCTTTGCAGGGTGCAGAGCTTTTACAGCACCCCACTGAGACCCTCCTCCTGGAGTTCATTAAAGCTCTTAGACAAAAAAAATCCCAGAATCCCAGAATGATATGGCGTTGGAAGGGACCTCTGGAGATCATCCAGTCCAATCCCCTGGAAAAGCCTGGCCCCATCCTCCTGACACCCACCCTTTCAGTATTTATAGGTGTTGCTGAGATCCCCCCTCGGTCTTCTCTTCTCCAGACTAAAAAGACCCAAGTGCCTCAGCCTTTCCTCATCAGAGAGATGCTCCAGGCCCCTCAGCATCTTTGTGGTCCTATAAATTGTGTTATTTTCGTTACCCTGTTCTACACTAAGGACTCCCCAACGACAAGAAATACACTCCAAAGGAAAAGTTCCACCCACCAGACGTGTCATCCCAACAGTGGAACCTCCCGACACAAGGCCTTAGTGCTACAGCAAAATAACACTGCCAAAATAACACTCCAATTCAAAGCAAACGGCAACGAGCAGCCAGCGCAACCCCTCACATTTCTCCTGCAAGAACAAATTGGGCTTTTTGTCTGTCGAAACACTGACTATGGAACATTCCAGCACTTCCTGAGGCTACAGATGGGCAAACGCAACCTGCACAAAAGCCACCCCGGCTCTTGGGAATTGGTGCTGCTGCACCATGGGGTTTTCCCTTCTTTGGGCATTTTCCTCCATCATGTTCCCCAGGCAGAGAGGCAGAAGTGAAGGGAGAGGGCAGGGATCCTCCCGTCACAGACACCCCCAGCCCAGCAATTGAATCCCTGCTCCCACCCTTGGCATCCCAAAAGGTGTCATTTCCTGGGATGTGCCCAGCGCTAGCATCTAGTCTCACTAAAGTCTCACTTATCCCAAGCAGTAAAATCATTACAGAGGAAAAATATCCTAGGGCAAAGGACTTATTGAATTTATTAAAGCCTCGTTTCTCCTTGTCTTTTAAAGTTCTAAACAGCATGATATTCTATTAAGCAGCTGAAGAGGACAATATGTCATTGTAAAGCAGGAAAAAAAAGAAATGTATTAATGACAGTGAGATAATTTGATTTCCTTTACTCCACAGCACAGCCACAAACAAAATCCAAGCCCAGCCTATTAAAACAACTCGGTATCTATCTCAAATTTGAAGAGTTTCCCCACAAATGACCTGCGTTATCTGTAACAGCGTTAGCAGGACCCGGGCCGGTTTTAATGACTCGGTTCACAAAACAATTAATGCCTGAAGAGAGTCCCTTCAGCAGGGAGAGGGAAACGTTCAGTGACCACACACAATCAAATCACTTCAAACTTGGTCTTATTTTACCTTTTTTAATCCCAGGCGCTGCATCGTGCTTTCGCCGAGGGGCCAATCCTGCTAATGGGCCGTTAGCAGCATAATCCTCCCTGATACCAGTTCCTGGGGGATGCGGAGGGAAACCCTGCCCATCACGAAGCCAAAGGGAAAAAGGACTTTTATTCCCACCCTGCTTCTTTCTGGGAAGGCCCCGACACCAAACCGCCGCAGCTACACACCGAAAGACCACAAATAAAACCAAAAGCATCCACACATTCAAATTCTGATCTGAATTCTGATTTTTAGATCATTTAACACCTTCTAGTAACATCTGCTCTTTCAAGTTCTTTCTATTTTCTATTTTCCACTTTCTATTAAAAAAAAAAAAGAAAAAGCAAGGATTTTGAGAACAAAAAAAAGCAGCTTTAAACGTTGCTTTTAAAGGAATCTGTGCAGAAGGTTGAAATAAGATATTACAACATATTTCAAGATTTCCCTACATTCCCCTCCTCTCCATCTTTTTTTACGGCTGAGAGTGTTTCAGCTCAATTTGTCCAAATCTCTG